TTAATCAGTTTTATTGGTAAATTTTGTAAAATTTTGTTAAATTATTAATTTTTTGTATTTAATAAAAAATTAGTATAAAAAATTAATAAAAAAATTATTAAATGAGTCATATATAGAAATAATTAAGAAAAAACTTTTTCTTTTAAAAAATGTATAAAAAATTTACAATTAAAAATACTGTTTTTATCCTTTTTTTATTATTGGAATATCAGCATATAAAAATGTAAAAACAACCTCATAGATAGAAAGTTTAAAAAAATGGAGGAAAACGGCTTGGCATCCGTACAGACCCTAAGGCAAAGGCAGAGCAGCAAGTGTCCGTGTAAATGGAGCTGGCTCCCAATTATTAAAGTTCAGGTCCAGACCTCTAACCCCCTCACTAGACTCAAGGGCCAAGGCCCCAATTGTAATTTGGGCTCATCTAATTAAGGTGGGCTCATGTCCTTGGTTAATTTTATTTTGAATAGCCCGCTCAATTTGAGCTTGCCTTGCAGCTTTTAGATTGTGCCTAAAACTTTTTAATCCAAATAACAATAGTTTTCTGAAGGCCGAAAAGATAATAGCAGTTTTTATTTTCATTTATTTTATATTGGAGTGAGGAAATGCAAAGCCATCTATAAAACATGCACCTTACCTATTATGTTATACAGCTACTAGTTCTAGTGCGAACTTTTTACTTTTATTTGGAGCTGCATTCATCTTGGAAAACTTGGAAGATATTCTAAAACCCCTCAGGATCTCGATGAATTTTTACCAATTACCATTATAGCAAATTATCAATGCTTTGCAACCACCACTTGATGCAAGCAGTCAATTCCACTTTGCTCCCATGAGGATGGCGCACTGGTGTGGGGTTGATACCCCAACTCAAACACTTGAAATCACATCCCCTCACCCTCTCAAAATTGCACAAGTTAATATATATATATATATGAAAAAATTTATATTAGTCTCAACTCTTAAAAAAAATTAAAATTTTAATCTTAAATGATATCATTTCATTTAATTAAAATCAAATTTAAAATTAAAGAATTTATCTTATTAAATGTTGAAACCTAAATTTGAAAACTAATTATATATTTTAATATAATTGATTTCTAAATGTACATATCAATATTTAATAAGGTAAATTTTTTAATTTTGAATTAAGTTTTTGGTTTTCAAATATATGAATCACCGAATTAGCATTTAATAATGTGAATTTTTGAATTTTAAATTAGATTTTAATTAAATAAAACAATATCATTTAAGATCAAAATTTTAATTTTTTTTAAATCAAAAGTAATATGCACTATATATATTAAAAGTTTATATCAGTTCCAACTCTCAATATAAATTGAAATCTCAACTTTAAACTATATTGTTTTATTTAACTAAAATTCAATTCAAAATTCAAAAATTCATCTTATTAAATGTTTTTTATTAACCCATCTTATTAAATATAATATTTAGATTTAAAAACTAATTATATTTAAATATATAATCAATTTTTAAATCTAAATATCAATATTTAATAAAGTAAATTTTTAAATTTTAAATTGAAATTTTAATTTTAAAAAATAAATTAAAATTTCAATTTTTAAAAAAAATTAAAACTAATACATATTAACCCCTATATATATATATTGTCTGGTTTTACACCCAAGATCAAGAGCTAAAGTCTTTCCGCCGACCATAAAGTTGTCTGAATAAGACATTTGAAAACAACATTACGAAACCACCCTTAGAAATCGTCCAAGAACCTTCGGGAAATCAAAATTACAATTAAG